CTATACTGGCGCCTTGGTAGCGGGTGTGCATGTGCTCGTAAGCTTGCACCAGAAACAGATCTGCTATGTGACTCTGGATCAGAAGAGACGTGTTTAATGATCCTTCTGGCTGCGAGACCTCCTGCGTGTGCATCTGTCCGTGTGTCTGTGCGTCGGTGTTGAGCTATGCCCGGCTGTTCGCGCCCTCCGCGGACAAAGATGCCTCCCGTTCTCGAGCGAGGCAGCCTGCAAAGTGTGAATAATTTTCAGCGAGGAGTTACACTAAGTGGGAAAGCTTTTAGCACATTATCCGCTGGCAATTGGGCTATAATCTAATTGTCAGCCCTCGGGTCTTAATAGAGCCTTTCTCTTTCCACCATTGGATTTGCATCTGAGAAATGCCTAATGGGTTTAAATGCCTCGCATTTTGCTCCAATAAGCCACCTTTTCGCTGTAGGTGACATTGAGACGTTTTTGTTGTGAAATCGGATCTCGGGTACCTGGGCTTCTGCCTTGCTGGCGAGACTGTTTTCGTGAAGGGGAGAATGCGAAGCGGTGACAAGGGGGGCGATGTCCCCGCCGCAGCAAGAGCGCTGGGAAAGGGGGCTGCTCCGAAATCGGGGAGCTCAAAGAGAGGAGCAATCCAACGGAGAGAGCAATATAATTATGTGCAGAGGAGGAGAAAAAAGCTCCTGAAAGCAGGTCTCGTAACCGCGTGAGGTTGCAGAGGAGCCAGAGCTGTAGCCGGGGAGCGCTGTAGCCGTCGCTCTGTGGAGCAGCGATGCGCTCGCAAGGCACGAACGGGAGTGCTTGAGACCATGCCCGAGAGAATAAACACCATTCTTTACACAGGACAAGCTGTTTTCGTCTACAAGGGGTAAAAATAAGAAAAACCAAAAGGTTTTAACTCGTCCTCTCCCGAGGCAGAAGTGCCTTCAAGCCCAAAGCAGTGCCGTAGGTTACCTTGTGGAGATGCTGCGGGAGAAAGTGTCAGACAGACTCCGGTACACACCGGGCCAGCATCGGTCGGGGCGGGACGGCGGCAGTGAGGGTCTCGACAGCGGCCACCCCGCACCTGTAGGCTCCTAATTAAATGGAAGAGTGGCCCTCGCCCTCTGCACAGACGACGGATCCGGCCGGGAGATGGGGAAATAACAGGAGAAGGGATGAGATGCAAATGCCAGGTTATCCCAAGAGGTAGCCGGGAGAGAGCGGGTGTCAGGTCGGCTCGGTGCCGGGCCCCGTTTAGGGGCACAGCCCCACAGGTGCCACAGCGGGACTGCCTACAGGTTTGTCTCTGTGGCGTGAAGCGTGTGGTGTGGGGGCTTTTGCGAGAGAAATAAAAAAAATAAAATAAAAAAAGAGGCAATGCCCCCCCATCACTGCGAGAAAGACTTGCTTAAAATCTGAGCGCGGCTCCCTGCCTGATCTGTGCCCCTCTTCACACACATCGCCCGCCGCCGGGCCTGAGCGGCCGCGCAGAAACCCACAGGGTCGGAGCTCTTGTCAGAAGGCGCACCTGAAACCATCCCTCTGGCTCGGCAGGTTTCCCAGCGCATTCCTGCGGGTTTCTGTCTCTCGTGTCTCATTCCCATCGTGATTTTGGCTACTTGAGGAAAGGGCCGGGAAGAAGCGGTGCTCATGGTTTTCAAGGGATCGCGTTTTCTCCTTGGCTTTTCAGGGATCAGAGGGAAGTTTTGGAGGGGGGCTGCAAGCTCCCTATGTGAAACCTGACGGCGAATCTGAGACCTAATCCTGATGAAAACTGGGAATCGAATGAGCGCGACGAGATGTGCACCAATTACCCGCACGCTTTCTTTGCCGATGCACAAGAGAGTAAGGAGTTTTTTAGGCAAAGGAAGATGGGAAAAGAGGTACTTCGAAAGGATAATGAAGCCTAATGAAATGGCTCTGCCACAGCAGGCTGACACTAGCGACAAACACATGGATTTGCTAGACTGAAAACAAACTGTGTTCTTTATGTACGGATAAACAATAACAAAGGATTTAATTGAAACGGGTTCAAACGAGACAACCGCCTCGTTGGGGTACAGCAGGGTTGGTAACTCTGCTCTCGGGAGGGGGTCGGTACAGCGGTGACAGCCGGTCTGTGCCCAGCTGTGGCAGGGACTAGCTGCTCCGGTTCTCATCCCTCGGGAAGAGCGCGCGGACGTTACTGAATACGTCCACTTGGTTGGGAAAGCAGAGAGGGACCAAGAGTACTGGAGTAGTGATGGGTTTCTCAGCTACCCCCTCGTCTCTGGAAGCCCTCACCGTTCCCGGAGAGGGTCATGGGCAGGGACGGCAAAGCAGCTCAGAGGAGACAGACTCTCAGCCCCTTCCCACTCGGGTACCCCGATCCCCGTGTCTCTCCAGTTCAGACCTGGTGGGGGAGGGAGCCGTAGCGAGGATTAGGCGGCCAGAGCTGAGCCCCATTCTCTGCCCACGGGGAAGGAGGGGGTGCTCTGGACGTCTAGACAAGGCTCATTTCCTTATCGGAGGCGGGGCGGGAGAAAAACTAAAAAAAATATAGATTCTCGTGGGATAGAGCGAAACATTGCATGGCTTACCCAAGCAAAAGAAAAGCCATCCCGCTTGGACGGACCCGTTTAAAATAAAATAAAATAAAACGAAGCTCCTAGTTTCTTTCATCTCCGAGTTTTTGATCTCCGAGGTACGAGAAGGGACCCTCAAGCCCCACGTCCGGTCTCTCTCTCGGGGGGCAAGCCCCTGCCGGAGGCAACAGCCAGCCCCATCCCAGGTCCACGGCCGTGCCGCGGCCTCGGTTTTCCCCCTCTCTCGCCGCTCTGCTCCCCTCCCCGCCCGACCCTCCCTGCCCCGCTCACCGCGCAGCGCTCCCCCGTGCCGCGGCCGAGTCCTTCTCTGGTGGATAAAGGTAGGAACCAGCCGCTCCACAGGGCTGAAAATCCCGCGACGAGACAGAGCAGAAAAGGGTCCCGGGCTGCCGCAGCTGCGGGTCTGAGCCGGTACTTTCCATATGGACCGAAATATCCACCGCCACTCGCCGCTCCCTCCCCTTAGCCCCAGTGGGCCGGGGGCAGCCTCTACTAGAGAGAGGTATGTTGCGACCTGTCTGCTGCTGGACGGAAATAAGGAGAGAGCTTTTATATTTTATTTTTTTTTTAAATTATCCTTATTTGTGGGGCGCATAAAGTAGGTAGGAAACCAAAGGCATCCCTGCCACCACCAGAGAAACGATGAAGACAATGATTTCCCCGGCTATTTGTACCAGGCCGGACCCTGCTTTTCAGATAGGGCCAAAGGAGCGCAGGGCCGGAACCCTCGGGATCCCTGTCCCACCGCCCCTCGCACGCGAGGAGCGGGGCTGTCCCGCAAAGAAATCGAGCCCGTAATTGGAGGGATGTCCCTTGGGATAAAGCGGTAAAGCATTTGGGGGACTTTTTGTTTGTTTGTTTTCTTCTGATTGATGTCGACAGAACCGTTAGTCTCGGTTTCGCTGTGTCAAGAGGCGATGCTTCGCGATCCGACCCTCCCGGCTCTCCGGCCGGGCTCTCTCTTTTCTCTCCTTTTCCCCCTCTTATACCTGAAGCAAGACCGGGCCCCCAGATCACGGTGGGCCACGCCGAAATCCTCTGCCAAACGCTTCAGGCTCTTCTAAATCTTCACATCCCGTTTGTGGTAGACACCCTATCTATTAGCAAATTCAGGTAATAAAAGGGCAAACTGCAGTTGGTTCTCTCTGACCTCAAAGCAATAAAGCACTATTTCGTCTTCCCCACTTCACTGGCTCTGAAGGGTGACCCGAGTAATTATTTCTCAACATTGATTAATTAAATAAGCAGGAATAGGAGTGGCGCAGACTATACCTGACCAGGTATGTCATGGCTCTTGGCACAAGCCTGCATGCTAAAAACGCTTGGATTCTGTTCTAGGCTTAAAAGGTGGAACTTCAGTGACAAAGTTGCATGTCCTCTTGTGAGTCGTTTTAGCGAGCAAACATTTTCAGTCATATTTTCATTTAAAGGAATTTAATTAAATGCCCCGGTTTTTGTTTTATTTGTTTGGGTTTTTTAAATTTATTTATGGGAATATGCTTACATTATATCCTTGAAATAATCTGTTCATTGGCACTATCAGCTCGACCCGACTTTCTCTCTGTTTTATGTGCTTGATCAATACCATCTAGCCTGGTGAAGCCGATGAAACGGACTTGAAGAAAACTGTGCGATCAGCGGCCCACGCACTGGTTTGGCTGGGAAGAGAACGCAGCAAGGGTCTCACCTGGAGTCGGTGGGGGAGAGTACGTCTGAACGGAATGATAATATTTGGGATCTTTTGCAGGAAAACCAAGTGCACGATCAGCCTTAAGGAACATTCTGTCCCAGCAGAAGGCACACAACGACGAAAACGGCTGCTTTGAAAGTTGTGGTCTTTTAATATTTGAATTCAAAATAGAAAATTGACACTCACACGCACGCACCAGAAAAATCCACAATTTCTTTCCATCCTGTCAACGGCTTCTCCGCTGATTCTTGCCTCAGCAAAGCGAATAGCCTAGGGACCTTCTCGGGAGCATCCCCGGTCGTGCGGCCTGCCCCCCCCGTTCCCGCCCCCAGGGCTCCGCGGAGCAGAGAGAGCACCCCGAACCGCAGCCGGGGCCCCGGAGGGGAGCGGGGCTGGGCTGCGCGAAGGGGGAGCGGCAGCGGGGAACCGTCCCGAGGGCCGGCCGCCCCCTGCCCACCCCACAGGCTGGCAGAGCCGTCCCCTCCCATCCCGCCCGTCCCTCCTCCTCCCGCTGCCCGCCTCCGCCCCCTCCCCCGCGGCCGGGCCGGGCCGGGCCGGGGCCCTTGACGTGTCCCGGCGCCGATTGGCCGCTGGCCGATAGGATCTCCGCGGCCCCGCGTTAAGGCGGGGGAGCGCTCGGCGCCGGGAGCAGAGCGCTTCCCGGTATCCCGGCTCCACCACCCTCGGTCGGTATTCACGCCCGCCCCGTCCGGGCAGCGCCGCACCGAGCCGCGCCGCTTCTCCGCAGAGTGGCCATGGAGTACACGCCGCCCCCCAAGCCGCAGCTCTCCTCCCGGGCCAACGCCTTCTCCATCGCCGCCCTCATGTCGAGCGGCAGCTCCAAGGACAAGGAGTCCCCCGAGAGCACTATCAAGCCTCTGGGTGAGTGGGGACGAGGGTGACCGCCGCGTGTCCGTGAGGTGCGAAACTCCCCTCCGTCCGTCTGTCCCTGGCGGAGCCCGCTGGCCTCCCTGACTCACCCTTCTCCGCGCTCCGGTAGCCGGGGCCGGGCAGCGGCGTGTCCCCCCAGCCCGAAGGCTTCCCCTGCAGAGGGGAAAGCCACACCACCTAAATCAGTTGAGTGTCTTCATCACCCACGGTCGTTTTCAGGCGAGACTGTTTATGGCATAAACAGTTTCCTAAATTCCTCCAGCTTCAGCTATTCTACTTATTTATCCAGTTTCGCCATTTGTAGAATAATCTCACACCCTAAGGTAGTTTTATTTCTCTTTGCTGATATGGAATGAATCTCTTAAATATTTATTGCAAATCCTCTCTGTTTTTGAAGTCAAATGAGAAGACTCTCCGTAATCGTACCTAGGCTTATAAGGGGTATAAAACTTGTGCGTAGATCTGGAAATCCGTTTGCTCCACAGCTCCGCGATGTAGGCTCATATAGGCTGGTTTACTCTTCATAGACCGGAAGGATTTTTGTAGTATTGCTTGCGATTTTTGGGTAAGCGATTTCGCTTCTATTGGTTGCCTCCATTCAGAATCCTGAAAGTTTTTTAAAAAACATTAACGTCTTCCCCTCATCTCCCACCCTCCTTCCCACCGAGTTTCTGAGGTTTGTCGTCCTTGTATGTATCCAGGAGTTCGCAGAAAACTACAAAAAATGTGTTAAGCTCTCAGGGCGCCAATGAACAGGATTACATTCAACCTTAAAAGAATTTAGAAAAGGCAGCTCCCTCAGCGTCTGCTCCATCTAATCAACTGTCTCAGAAGATTTCACGTAGTCCAGGGATTCATTGTGAACTTTATTTTTTTTAGTCTAGGCGGTAATGTAGGCTGGTAATGTTGTAATATTCCCATTCGGCATGTTTACAACAGCTTGTGTTAAACGTAGCGTTAGTGCTAGTGGGGATTTGTTTGTTTGTTTTTTCCTTTTTCCTGAAAACGCTTGTTAAATTTAACTTTTCAAAAATTTTTAACTCCATCCCACACACCATTCAGCTTTTAATCGAAGGGAAACGGCTGCCTTTAACTCGACTTTTATTAAGTGGAGATTCGGGTAAAACCTTTCCCTGGAGGGGTAGGGCGCGTTCGTGCACCACCCGTTCCTTGGCGCCGGGCGGCGGATCCGTCGCCGCATCCCGTGCCACAGCATGGGGCCGAGACAGAGCCCGCGCAACCCTGGTCCCTCCCGGCCTCGTCTACAGGGGAAACTCCCAGCGGAGCTGCTGAAGCCCCCAGAAACTTCCCGGGACTTGCGGGGGTGGGCGGCAGCGCCGGCGGGACCAGCCGCGGCGGGAGGGCAGCGTCAGCAGCAGCTACTGCACCCACGTAGGTTGCGCGGCCGCACGCAGCTCCCCCGGAGCCTATTTCTCCAAAGGAGCTTGTTCAGCGTCAGCAAACCGGCTGGGAGGCAAGGCAGACCTGGTTTTCCGGGAGGGTGAGCCCGCGCTCGCCGTTGAATTAGTATTAAGGGTTCGCTTCCCCCGCGGAGGAAGTGCGGAGCCTGCGCTTCTGAGTTGCGCGCTCTGCCAGCGGCGCAATCTAGGAGCAGCCTCAGCGCTGCCCCAGCGTGGCCCCGGTCCTCAGCAGCCCCTCGGCGCCCAAAGCTCCCGTTTTAATGAGAATTAGTGACCTTTCCATGGAACGCCTGGGTTAGCAGGGGGGCAGCGCGCAGGGCCTGCTCTGCCCCCTCCGCGCCCCGCAGAGCGGGTCACAACCGGGCGGCGACGCGACTGGGGTCGCGCTCCCCCCCGCCGCCCCCCGGCATCTCTCCCGGTGAGCCTCTGGAGAGTGGCGCCGTTCCATGCTCTTCCCGGAGCTCATCTCAAAAAATCACCACCGCTGCTCTCAAAATGATGAGCTGACGCCTAAAGAACAAGCGCGGGTTTGCGGGTGTGCTGAGGCAGAACGAGGGCAGAGGAACGACAAATGCCTTTTTATGTATAGATATATATATATATACATATATATTTAAATAGCTTGTCTCGGCGGTCGCCCCGTCCTGGCTGAATGCCCCCTAGACTCTCTCTTTTTTTTTTTCCTTTTTTTTTTTTCCCCCTCCTCCCCAAACTCTGCAGAACAATTCGTTGAGAAATCCTCTTGCGCCCAGCCTTTGAGCGATTTATCCAGCCTGGATCCTCACGGGGATTTTAGCAGCAGCCCTTCGACCCTGTGCACCGAGCCCCTCATACCCACCACCCCCATCATCCCCAGCGAGGAGATGGCCAAAATCTCCTGCAGCCTGGAGACCAAAGAGCTCTGGGACAAGTTTCACGAACTGGGTACCGAGATGATCATCACCAAATCCGGGAGGTAAGGCTGGGCAGCTCCGGGTTTTTTCTCCGGGCAGCTTTCCCCCTGGCTTTGGTCAGGGGGAAATAAGGCAAAATAACAGAAACCCCGCGGGTTTTGTATCGGGAGAGCAGCAAGGCTGGGCTAAGGGGAGAAGAGGAGGAGGGTGAAGCCCCTTATTTGCCGCAGCTCCTCGGCGGGCCCGGCCCGGCGCTGCGCGGTGCGGGCACGGAACCCCGCTGGGGCAGAGGGAGAGGCGGCTCGGGGCGGCAGCGGGGCGGATGGAATCCATCCGAGGGGTCCCAGTGGATGGGTAGAAATGTTGCTTCCCTTATAATTCGGTCTGTAACAAACACACCGCAGTGATTTTTGCGGGGCTGGGTTGTTACAGACCAAGGGAAACGCGAGGACGTGGGGAAGTAATTCGGTCAGAGCTTGGCTTGGTTTGTTCTTTTCACTCGGTTGCAAAAACGCGCAAAAGAATCCCACGCCTTCTCGTAATCTCAAACTATGCCGTTTCGTCAGTAAAGCTTCTGGATTTGAGTCAGTTAAACGGAGTCCGGAGAAGCCAGATGTTTTTTCGGGTCTTGTAATCGCCCAAGTTACTTTTTATTAATGTAGTTCCCTGACGGCATTTTTTTTTCCTAAGTGGTGAGATCTATTGGCATATGTTTTTTTTTTTTTAATAATATTTAAAAAAGTAGGTAAAACCTCTGCAATTTGGAGTTCAACATTTCAAATTGTTCAAAGGTATTTAACTTTATTTCTGTCTACAACATGACCTTACACTTTTAAATTGTGTTTTGTCAAAACTTAAGTACCGAAAAGAAAGTTTAGTTTTGAAAATTCCGCTCAAAAATATCCTGAGCAGGCTTAGAAGAACACTCATCCAAAATATGTGAGAATAATAACGGAAATAATTTCTGCAATATTTCCCTAACAGTAGTATGGATGCCATAAAAATTAAAAAAACCCCCAAACTTTCTAAAGATGTATGTACCTTAGGTACAACTATTTTCTGAAATCACTGTGTACTTTTAACTAGCAGGCAAACAGTATATTTCTCCTTTACTTTTTGTTTTTTACCTTTTTTTTCCTTTTTGTTCTCCAAATATCATTTGGATTTCAAGCTGCTTTTTCTCTGCCTATTGGAGAGACACAAGATTTAACTTCCATCATGCTTAAACAGAATCAACAGATGCTTTTAGTTTTTACAGGTGGTTTAAATATAATTCTTACTTGTAGCAGCTTTTCAGAAGCTCTCTTATTTCTGTTCTCTATCTGCATATTTATTTTCTGATTTGCCTTTATTTCAGGAGAATGTTTCCAACGATCAGGGTTTCCTTCTCGGGAGTGGATCCTGAGGCCAAGTATATTGTGTTAATGGATATAGTTCCTGTGGACAATAAAAGATATAGATATGCCTACCACAGGTCTTCCTGGTTAGTGGCTGGAAAAGCTGACCCTCCTCTCCCTGCAAGGTTTGTAGATTTTACTGCTGATCTTTTATTTTTCTTTACTTTTCTTTTTTTCTTCCTTCAAGAAATACTTCCTATTGATTTTTCCATGCTGTTTGCAAACAGTGCTCTGAGATCTTGAGTCCATGCTCAACAGTTGGTTGCAAAACTGATTAATTTTCTGTGATGCAGAATCTGGCGTTAAACCTCTGCTTGAGGTTTGATTTATACTGAGTTTGTTTGAGAACAGAATTTGTTTAAGGGTTCTTTTATACAAATGCTGGTTTTTTTCTAATTTTTTTAATGAAGTTTATCTTTATTGAGATAAGAAAGCTTGAAAAAAAAATTATTTGTCTCTTGGCTTGCCCTCCCCCCTCAGTATTTGACCCCATAATTTGAAGCGATCCAGGCACCACTAGCCAAGCCAAAGTGGAAATACTACATTTCAGTTCAGTGCTGTTTATGCTTGAAATTATATTATTTCTCTAACATATCCAGCATTTACTAACCAAGAATTCTATTCTTGCTTTTAGTCATCTCATAAACAGCAGGCAAAATACAGATTGGTTCTACAGCACAGATACTTTTTTTTTTTTTTTTTTTTTTTTTTTTTTTTTTTTTTTTTTTTTTTTTTTTTTTTTTTTTTTTTTTTTTTTGCTTAGGAAATCATGACATATTCTGAGACATCAGGAAAAAAAATCAAATAAATCCTCTAAAATAAATTCCTTTTTCTATAGAGAAAGAAATGCTGTAGAAATTCAATTTCTAAAATCATTCAATTAATGTAATTAATGGCTGATTCCTTTCATCACTGGGCAACTGAGGCTGCAGCACTAGGCTGTACGATGGTCTCCACTTCAGCGGAGACCCACACTTCATCGTAGTCAGCCCAGCACTTCAGTACGTACTTAAGTCCCCAAGTCCAGTAAGACTGCAGCACATGTCGAATGGCTTTGCTGAGTCAGAGCCGGAGATATGAAAATAATGGGGATGCCTCTCTGGCTTCAAAGAAACTTTTTGTGAAGGGCTCTGCACACGGATACAGATCTGCTCCAGGTGGCTTAGCCCGGGGTTAAGAACTCACCTATTACAGAGGTAGAAATTAGAAGTGAAACACAAGAAATGGAAACAAATTTTTTTTAGTGTGTGAGTATAGGCACGAAATACTGCACAATTTCCTTATATAAATAGTTGAACTGAAATCTTGGTGACTGGTGATCTCTGGAAGGCTGCTCAGGGAAGTAAACAAAGAAAAAGCACAACCAGAGAAGCTGTGATTAAAGACAGCAACCTAGGAGTTATGTCGGCTTTGTTTTCATGGCCAAAAACTCCTTTTTGCAATGTGGTTAACGTCTGAGGGCTTCATTTGACGTATTGTAATGGGCACTGATCGAAACCCAAAGAAAAAACATGGATCCTTCTCCAAAGGAGTGAGCATCAAAAGAAGAAATAACAGAAGGACAGAAATAGTTTTAAGGCAGGGTTCTCCCCTTTTTTTTTCTGTGTTCATGCCCCTTTTGGGATACCTTTAAATAGATGCTAATTTGCACTTTATCTGGCACAGTCTAGTTCAACAAGGAAATACAAGAACATAAGACAAGAAACTGATCCTTGTAATAATTAGCAACTGCCCTATTGAGTGTTTTAAAGTTAGGGTCAAAACTTCTTGAAGTTTCATAGTTATTATCACTGTACTGTGGTAGCTCTTTAGGGTCCTCAATGGATCAGTACCTCGATGCGCAAATGTGTATCTGTGCTGTTCCAAGGATACTTTGCCTCTGTGTATAAATGTCCACCTTTCCTCTTTCATTTTCACGATGCTTAGCCAAAAAGACTATTGATCATACCACAGGCTTAGATCACTTTTTCTTTGTATGAACAGTACTTAAATATACATTTATGCACTTTGTCCTTTCTATGTTTCTCTTTGGTGAGAAAAAGGATGTCAAGAGGTTCAGTGTGCCAATGTTTGCATTACTAGTGTTTCTTCTACAGTGTTAATGCATCTTTTGAGGTGGGAGTCCTCAGTCTTGCTTGAACAGATTAAAAGTAGTACTCCTCCCATCTTGAAACGAGTTTGATCCTGCTCCAGTAACAGGAACCCTTAATGAAGTTATGATTTCTTGTCCTCCAAACACGCGGTTTCAGCTCTCTGTACTTGAGGAGTGTCAGCAAGGGGCGTATGTGTGCTTAGCGTCTGGGCACTGGTAGCAAGGTGCTTACTCCCCACACACATCACTGCCTGCATCTGCACAGGCACGATGGCAACAGGGGAATTATTCAGGAGTCACATTGTGCATGGGTGTAAGAATTTGCAGGATTAAACCCCTTAGGTGGTTTGCTCTTTCCATTATAAATATAACTTTCAACACTAAGACAGTTTTGTGTTGTTTTTTGGGGTTTTGTTTTTTTTTTTTTTTTTTTTTTTTTTTTTTTTTTTTTTTTTTTTTTT